CTTCAAGGTTCATCCACAATACACCATGATTGATATTTCATCCCTTTTTGTAGCAGAATAATACTCACTTGTATGGTAATACCACATTTTTACATTCCACAGTTCAGGGACACTTACATTTCCACTTTTTTGCTATTACAAATAGGGTACTATTAGTATTTGCATATGATACATCTAGTGTACACTTGTTTTATAATTCCTTCTGAATATATATTGGTGAACACTAGCTAGGTCATGTGATAAGTGTGTGTTTAATTTCTATTACTACTAAACCATTTTTAAAGCAACAGAATCATTTTGCATTCTCATCAGCAGTGTAGGATTTCTCTACATCCTCACTCATACTTGATATTTTCATTTCAACAATCCAGGTGGATATGAAGTAAGGTCTTGTGGCAATTTTGATTTTCACTTGCTGATGACTAATGATATTGATCACCTTTTCGTCTTCATGTTGGTCATTTGAACATCATCTTTGTAGAAATTGATATTCAAAGTCTTTCCAATTTTTAAATTGAGTTATTTGGCTTTCTATTATTAAATATTATTGACTAGTGGATCTTATAATCCATACATAAATTCAAGGGAATAAAAATCAAAATAATTTTATATAGAAAATATTTAGAGGTCATACCCTTCTTAATTTCAAAGATTACTATAAATCCAAAGTCTTTATTAAGTAACATGATATTTATATACAAGCTGATATATACATCAGTGGTATACAATTCAGACTTCAGAAATAAGTCTTACATTTATTCAATTCATTTTCAAGAGGATGTGATCCTTTGCTATGTGGTCTTAGTTCCATGTATTATTAATGAGAGCTCCTTATTAGATTTATGATTTTCAGATATTTTATCCTATTTCTATGGGTTGTCATTTTACTTTTTTTCAGAGAATTATTTGTAGTATAAAAGCTAATTTCGATGTAGTTATTTATGAATTTTTTTTAATTACTTTTACCTTTGGTGTCATAATTCTGAGAACTTTGCCTTACCAAAAATAACAAACATTTTAATCCTTTGTATTACTGTAAGAATTTCAAGTTTTAGCTCTTATGTTTAGATCTGTTATCCATTTTGACTTAACTTTTGTATGTGTGGCTCAGTAGAGATCAGACTTCATTTTTTTTTTTTTTTAACTGGGGACATAATTGTCTTGGTAGCATTTATTGAAAAGATAACTCTTTCTCTACTGCATTGTCACTCCTCTTGAAAATGAACTGAATAAATGTAAGGCTTTATTTCTGACATATAGATTCTATTCTACCAATCTATATATCAATTTGCATACAAATACCAGGCTATCTAACAAAGACTTTGGATTTACAGTAATCTTTGAAATTACAGAGAGTATGAATTCCAAATACCTTCTTTGTAAAATTATTTTGATTATTCTTTTTCTTTTGCATTTATATATGAATTATAGATGAGCTTGCCAATTTCTGTAAAAAGCTAACTGGGATATTGGTAAGAAATTTCATTGATTAAAGTGAATAAAACTTTTAGTATTGTCATCTTAACTATGTTTAATGTTCTGATCCATGAATATAGGATGTATTCCCATTTATTTCCACCTCATTTTAAATATCTCTTAACAGTATTTTGTAGTTTTAGTGTATAAGTCTTAATTATTTTGTTAATTTTTATAAATTTGTTAATTTTATATCTAAATTTGTTCCTAAAATTGTATTGTTTTGGTGTTCTACGACATGAAATTATTTTCTCTAATTCAATTTTGTATTCACTAATAAATAGAAACATAATTGCCTCTTGTATGTTGATTTTGACCTTGCTTATTATCTCTACCAGTTTTCTTGTGGATTCCTTGGGATATTCTGTGTATGAGATCATGTCATCTCTACAGTAACATGCAAAGCATCTGCAAAGATAGTTTTATTTCTTTCTTTCTAATCTGGTGCCTTTTTGTTCTTTTTAAATCTAATTCCCTAGTTGGAACCTATGATGGACATTTGGGACATTTATATTATAAGTTCAATCTCTGAAAGTATTTTTGAGTTTTAATCATAGAATGTGGGTGTGAATTGATGTTGAATCACAGTAAACAGAGCCACATGATGGGAGAATTATAGATCATTTTTCTCCATTAACATGTGATAAACTCTGAATTTCTGAATTCATGAAAAATTTTGAGTGTTGAATGATTGTGAAGCATCTCCAACACATGCTCCTATAGCACAATTTGTACCTCCTGTGAGCCAATACCATCTATAGCTGGCTCAATAAGGAGCACCCAAATCCTAAATCCTGAAACTTGTAAATGTTAGCTTGTTTGGGAAAAGGGCCTTTTTGAATATACCTTTGTTAAAGATTTTGAGATGAGAAAATTATCTTGGATTATCTGTATGGACTTAAATGCCATCATGAAGGTCTTTATAAGAGAGAGCACATTAGAGTAGAGGCATGCAGAAGAACAGAAAGTCATGTGATGCAGCCCCAAGCAGGGGTATGCTGGCAACTACCAGAAGCTAGAAGAGACAGAGGATGGGTTCTCTCCTAGACCTTCTGGGAAGGAGTGCCACTCTACTGGACTTGAATTTGGACTTTGGGCCTCTAGGACTATGATAGAATAAATTTCTCTCTTTTTTTAAAAGCAACCCATGTTATGGCCATTTGTTATAGAACCCAACAGAAATTAATATTCATGCTAATAATCATTTGTTTAAATATCTAGTTTCTGCAGTAGATGGTTAACTGCAGAAAAACCTCTATTATCTATCTCATACATCTCAGTAAGCATAGTAGCTAGCACAGGGCTTGGCAGTAGTTAGGTTTTGTTGGATACTAGATAAAATGAATAAATGGGCTGTGGTTTTAGTGTTTAGCTGGGTGAATAGGTAAACATGCTAATGAATTTGGGAACAAGTAATATATTTATTTACACAAATGAATATATAGTGACTAACAACACAGATTTATTAGCTTATTTAGCAAGGGAACTCAGTAGATGCTACACATTGATGATTGGGAGCAAAGGAGACAAGTTTCATAGGTAGTGTTTTTTTTTTTTTTTTGATTCTCTGGATTGAACTCAGGAGCACTCGACCACTGAGCCATGTCCCCAGCCCTCTTTTGTATTTTATTTAGAGACAAGGTCTCACTGAGTTGCTTAGTGCCTCACTTTTGCTGTGGCCGATTTTGAACTCGAGATCCTCCTGCCTCAGCCTCCTGAGCTGCTGGGATTACGGGCATGCGCCACCATGCCCAACAATTTTATTGATGGAAAAAGTTAGAATTTGGGTCTCTGGCCTAAAAAAAAAAAATCTCTCTGAAAATACAGGCCAGGAAGAGGCATCTGGAATCATGCTTTCCTGGACACTGCCCTCTAAGCTCTAGCAATTTTCCAGGCTGGACACTGGCATGCTTCATGCAGCTTCTCTGGACTCCCAGAATCTACTGGTCTTGTTTCACAAGGCAGTGAGGTAATATCCAGGGGGCCCAGTTGTAAAAGAGAGACCTCAAGATGTCACAGAAGAGATGTGGAAAGTCTGAAACCAAATCATGAACTATATGCATCTGAGATAATTTGTGAAGGGAATACTAAAGAGTGAACAGAGGTGAGAGTCCTGGCTGTTTGGCTTAACATGCAATTTCATATATCTAGTTATTGCAATGTGCTGCTTTAGTCACTGCTACCTACAAGGCCTAATGCAATTAAGAAACAGGGTCCGGGAGGGAAGAGGGAAGAGGGAAGGAAAGAAAGAAAGAGAAAAATCAAATCAACAGAAAGCAGAAAGTGCTTCGTGGTTCGCTTTCAGTTTTGCAGTAAATTCAGCCTGCTGGGGTTACTTTTGAAAGAGACTCTTGCCATTTGGCTATATAGTGTGTAATGATTTTACTTACTGGCTTGTGCTGTTTATCAGTATGAATGGATGCATAGTGTTACTTCAGGTTAGTGTGTGTGTGTGTGTGTGTGTGTGTGTGTGAGAGAGAGAGAGAGAGAGAGAGAGAGAGAGAGAGAGAGAGAGTGTTTTGAGGGAGAGAGGGACTTCACAAGTAGGAAGCCCTTTCATTCTGTAAGCATGTAAGATTAGCCTTTTTCATTATCTCCATCCTAACTTCTAATTCTTCTCTATCATCTGTGTGAACTCTTGGATCTAGACTGTACTTACTATTGCCATGACTTGCCCTGATTCAACTTCTTCCTGATGTCAAATTATATTTCTTCCAAGAAGCTACCTTAGCAGGTGATGTCTTCATCCTCTGAACTCCTATAGTAGTTTGCTTATATTTAAGTAGTCATAAAAATGACAAGGTCCACCGTTTACTGAGTCTTCAGTATATGCTAAACGTTGGGTTACATCCCTTACATACATTATTTCATTTAATTTTTACGATGATTCTGTGAAGTGGGCTCCACTATCATCATTTGGCATCCGTGAAAACAAAATTTAAAGAAATTAAGTGATTTGAAGTTTAAGTGATCAAGATCCACAGTTCACACATAGGTGATTTCTAGGACTCACAGAATTAACTTTTAACACCTTGTCCTTGAGTTTAACCTTGATAATATATGTATTTCCTTTTCTGGATTAGATGATGTTTGAGGAAAGAGACTCAGTATTATCTCTTTAATTTTTCTAATTACAACTCCCAGGACTCAGTAACTCAAACATTGGTTTAATGAATCAAGCCGTATCCAGAATGAAATTATCGCAATAAAAATTACTAGGCATTAAAATGTATTTTAAAATAACATTAAAAACTTATACTGATGATTACAAATAAAAACCCAAAAGATGGAAATTGTGGATAGGCATGATTTACATAATATTAAGTATGCCTTTCTTCCATTTCTTACAGTCCTGTATGTAAGTAATGCATAAAATGGTAGGATATTCATTCATGAATTTTTCAAGTATTCTATGTAGATGATTCATTTCAGAGTATCAAAATATTTTGTCTTAATCAGTTTCATGTGTTAAATGCAAATGACTATATTGATCTTGTGGGGTTTTTGTTTTGTTTTGTTTCTAGGATGGAGTTGGCGTAGATGAGAAGCTGTCTTTGCGGCGGGTAGCTGTGGTTGAAGATTTCTTTGATATTATCTATTCAATGCATGTGGAAACAGGGCCAAATGGAGAACAAATTCGAAAACATGCTGGACAGAAGAGAACTTACAAAGCAGTAAGTAAAAAAAAAGAAGAAGAAAAGAAAGGAGGAAAGCATGCATTTTGAAATGTTTTATTATGTTTGCTTAATAAATTTGAAATAATTATAAATATTCTACAACATAAATTAGACCATATCATGGTTACACCCAGCACTTAAGATTATAATTATTACTGATTCTGTTTTGGTCATATTTTTACAAGTCAATTGCATATAATTTAAACCTGTCTCTAGAATTCTCATATTGTTTTATTTTAAATATATATGTAAATATATATGCAAATATTTATAAAGTATGGTAGTTCCTGTCAAATGCCACAAATGGGAAGATATATTTGTATTACAAATTGTGTATCATATTATGTGAATTATAGGACTGCTGCCTTTACTGTTTTAACATTTCTTCCCATAAAGTCCTATTAATATATTTGAATATTTCTTATTTTACCCTTGTAGTTTATGGACAAAAAATCCTATGTACTTTCTTATGTCCCCTTATATTAAATACATTTGTCCTGAAGGATATGTATTTCTTAATTTTCCAGAATGAACTATTTAAAAATATGGGTCTTTTCATAAGTCTAATGCCCTTTAGAACATTTTTAAATGGAAAAAATAATGTTTTAATTGTAAAGTATTTGAAAAGGAGATTTAATTAACTGTTGTATATTGAAATGTATTTGTTGTCAAATGGAGTTATATATTATTTTTAAAGTTTATAATTATACCTACAGTTTTATCTAGACATTTTAATCTAGCTTCTTATTTAATTAAAAATTTTGTGAAATCATGTTTCTGTAGATATTTCATCTTTTCTAGCAAAATTGAACAGTAAATTATTCTTTTCCAATATGAGCAAAGTGTACATTAGAAGTACTTTATCAGCAAACAAATTAATATCCTCTTTTTGAATTCTTATTGAACTCTGCTTTTGGCTACCTTTATATTAACTGTTTTCAGCTATATTGATACACAATATCAGTCTGGATCCATTTTTTTTTCAGATACAGAAAAATGTGTGAAATGCTCAAAGTTTCAAATACAGGTACATATGTTTGAAAATTAGCTACTGAGCATAAGAAATAGCTTCTTTTTCCATAACTATTTTTTGCTATATTGCCAGGGTCATATTGAATCTTGTAGTTGCATAATAACCCCTAATACATGTTGTATTTATTCCTCCTTTTCTATGGTTTTGTTTCTTGGCTGTTTCCAAATTGCATGGTTTGTGGGCAGGCACAACTGTAAGTTTCCTTACATAATTCTGCCACATAAACTTTCTTTTGACTTATACATCCAAGGAGACCTTCTTAGTTCTTATCATGACTAATGATAATGACCTAGCTTCTTGAGATATTTTTATGTAGACTAATATTACTGAGCACACTCATTTTGCCTGTCTCCCAAGCCAGAGTTGTTCCTCTGGACAGTAATAGGGAAAAGATTACGTATTGATCTACTAATATCACTAACTGTGCACTCTTTTGATAATACATTTTCATGAAACAGATACCTGAACTTGGTAAGACTCTGTGAGATAGGAATGTGTAAGTTCAGTTTTAAATGAAATAAAAAATTAGCAAAAATAAAATCCTGAACAATATACAAGTAACTTCATCATTAGTAGAGTGGCAGCCATATCTGTTTAGGTGCCAAAAGCAATTTAAAATAATTTAATCTTTAAAATGAATTCATTAGAGACCTTTAATTAAATTGGAAGCATGAGTCAATACCTCATACCTAAAGCCTCACCCTGTACTTTCTTAAATGAATGTAGAATCTGGTCCATTGTCATTATGCCTGCTATACACCTGCTGACTACTTTGAATAAATCTGCAAGTGTGTTTCCAACACATACACTTTGTATTAACATTATTAAGATGTTTTCTGCCTTTTGGGTTGGAATGCCATCCTTGAAAGCAAAAGCAGTACCTGAAATATCATCCAACCTCTCTTGAGAATGTTCTATTTGAAGATCCTTCTTTCCCAAGTTTATTTATTTTTTATTTCCATATTTAAAGATTTATCACCTTGTCCTAATAGCAGGAAGTTTCTTTTGGCCTAAACTTTTTTTTTCTGCTGGTATATCTCAATTAAATTCTAATTAGGTAACATTTCCATTTTATGGAGTAATAATTTATTGTAGGAAAAAAAAGAGAATTGCTACAGAGCCAGCAAAACTGTGCACATGACTCAACAGTGAATTGAGTCTAATGTAAAAAAATAATATAAATGTTCAATTAGTGGGGCATAAAACTAAAACACAATTTGAAATGGAATGGTTCAGTGCTATTAGAGCCATAGCCTGTTGGGTCAGAGTTTAGCTCTCAACAGTAATGCTGGAATTGGCTAGTCATTGGTAGGCTTAGCTATATAACCTATTGCAATTATAATGGTTCCCATTCAGTTTAGGATTTTTTCCTTAGTTCTAACACATTGGCTCATATAGCATGCATGATTATGTTTATTGACCTTCTTTTTCTTCCTTTTCCTACATGGCCAAGAAACCATACTTATACAACTAATCATTAAAGCGTTTCATATTGTCTTAACAATATTATCAATAGATTTAGTGGTCATTTTATTTACTTTGCCTTTTTTGCAAATCTTCTTTCTATGTTTTCACTCTGCAGGAATTGATGGTCTTTTAATATTGGATTAACTTTTGAATGCTATTTGGTTTTCCTATCTGCAGTATATCATTCCTTGAAATATCTAGGTATTATACAACTTACAAATTATTGCAAAATCTGGCCTGAACTTTAGATAAAATTGGAGGGTATATGTTCTATTATTCACGAGCTCTAGAAAAATCCACATAAAATGACACATTTTAGGAATATGTAAAGGCTATCATAATTATTTTTAATTATTGAATTCTAGTGTTTTGTAGATTTTTTTGTCTGAATTTGTATCTGTGTTCTAGAAACTGATAGTAGTGCAGAGTGTGTTTCCTGTAATATATTTAACTATGGTTAATTCATTGTTATCTATATTAGTAGAATAGAGAAGAGATGTGGACCATCACTTATTATGTTTGAATTTAAAATACATCACTGTTCCAAAATGAACAGCAGGTGTGTTTAGCAATTTGGACAGTGACTTAAGAATTAATGATGTAGTATCATAAAATTAATTCAGGATTTTGTCTTGTCTTCCAGTTCCTAACTCTTCTCAACTTCTGCCTGAACTCCACCTTCAGTGAACACATCACTGTTCTTGAGCTATCTTTTATTACTTGTATTTAATTAGAGGTGAAGCACAGCTGCCCTTTCAGGGTCAAATTAAAGGATTAAGTTTAAAAACTCTTTCTTGCTACATGTAAAATAAGTTTAACTGGTGGAAATCCAAGAACTAAGGGGAAAGTCAGCCGTATCAATAGAGAGAACAGTCTGCATATACATGTGTACACACACATACACAATTTGCAGTGTGATATCATAAACTTACATGTATTACTCATATATATATAGCTGCCAATAATTACATTTATTTAATTCAGAGTGGAGAGCATATGCTATAGCTAAAAGAAAATAGGCTGGCAGCCAGATAAACATAGCTTTAAATTTCAAATCTAGCACTCATTTCCTATCTGTGCCACTTTCGGCAAATTATTTACTTTTTGCCTTTAGGAGAGGATAATGATATACATGATGTGGTGAAATGAATGTGTTAATATGCATAAAGTGCTTGGCATATGGTGAACTTGCTGCTGATATTATTTCTCCTCCTCTATTTAATTACTACTCGAGTTCCAGGTAGAAGAACAAGTAGGACAATTAGCATAACTCTATCATAGAGATCATAGCTTTCTTGCCAGATGAAGTTTACAAGAATTTCAATTATTTTATTTACTTTTCCCAAAGTTTAAGTCTTTTAAATTAATTCACAAGTTTTCAGATTTTGGAAGTTAACATTTTTAATTAAATTGTTTTTTTTTTGAAAATTGTCAATTTAATTTTATGAAAAGCATCTCTCTAAAGAGTTTGCTCTCAACATAAAGGGAATATTCCTTCCCAGATATACACTGTAAAAAAATTTTCAATTTCTTTAGTCATACTCCAAAAATTAATAGGGAAAATTTTTATTATATTCAGAACACTCAACCTTAAAACTTTAGTTCATATTATTTTTGTCTTGTTCACTTAATAAACACCTATTGGTTCAGCATCTTGATACTGTGAGATAGGATGTTTTTTTAAGAGAGAGAGACAGAGAGAGAATTTTTTAATATTTATCTTTTAGTTTTCGGAGGACACAACATCTTTGTTTGTATGTGGTGCTGAGGATCGAACCCTGGCCGCATGCATGCCAGGCGAGCGCGCTACCGCTTGAGCCACATCCCCAGCCCTAAATAGGATGTTTTAATTTACGTTAGATTCTACTAGCTTGTTATATAAAACATACCAAAATTCTTATCAACTAATGATGAAACCAGTAAGCCAAATTTATAGCCACTGTGGTTGAAAAAATAGCACTAGACTAAAATTTAAGAGTTCTGAATAATTATTTAATCTCTTTTTTGGCTTAGGTCACAGTTTTCTCATATATGAAATAAAGGAGCTATATTTCAGTTTTCAGCAGTGTCCCATGGAATTAAAGCAGTGATAATAGTATGCATGGGGCATTACTGTCCTTAGGGACAAAAGGAAAAGAGTCGTCAAAGTGAGCAAATTGGTCATCACAAGAAATGCTAAAATATGGGGAATTCGTCCAGGTCTTATCAAAACAGATTGGCTATTAAGCATAGCACAGAGATTGAAAATTTTTGTTCCATTATTATCTAGAGAGCTATAATAATGATAATCACAGTAATAAAAATGATCTGTTGTCATTTGCCTTCATATTTCTATGATTTTAAAATAGTGACTAAAGAAAGAAGACCATAAAAGTCATAATCAAATGATAGCATATTTTTTTACTCCTCTGTATTTTTGCAAAATAAGTGTGTGGCAACCTACCCAAATTATCAGTGGGCAGCTCCTTCAACCTTTAAGCTGCAGTGCAGCAGGTGT